CAAAAGTTGTAATTATTGAAGAAAATGCACCATTTTCCCAAACCTCTGGCGGAAAAACGGTATGAGATAATTCCAAAAAATAAAATGATTTTGAAAGGACACATTGTGGGCATGTTTGTAAAAAATTTCAATCACATTTAGAGACAGTGCCGCCTCGTTATACATACCGTACCCAGTTCTTTATCATTTTCGTTTATGACTACGATCAGAATCACTAATTCATGTATAACTTTGATTAGCCTGTCGATATGCAATATTATAGTTTTCAGTTAAGTGGAAAGTTTTACATTGCGTCACGATATTTTTCGTCAGATGCATCCAACGTTAACAATTCGCGTGATTGGTCAACTCATAATTATCAAAATTGACACGGAAATAGTCTGTTGCACGAGCAACCAATCGGGGATAAGAAGAAAGTTCCAGTCGTAAATTAAAGCTTGCGGTTAGGAGGCGTGTTCAATTTACCTTGAGCGCAGTTGACAACTAGATCGTTACGTAACTTGAAACTTTACACTTAGCTGCAAACTATAATGTAACTTCTTTTGGTACTGTATCTACTCAAACTTTTGTGTAAATTGGTGTTCAAACATATGTTTGTTTTCGCCAAAAATAGTTATGCCAAAATTATTGGTATACCTTTGCAAGCAAAACTCCAAATTTCACACCCGCTAAAGAAACCACCATACGGTAACAACATGTAGTATTACTTTATGAAATCCCTAACAAAAAAATACTATAGTTAACTATAGTTTACTATAGTTTACTATAGTAAATCAAAGTTCCAAAGTTTTTACCATAGTAAATCAAAGTTCCAAAGTTTTCCCCATAGTAAATCAAAGTTCCAAAGTTTTTACTATAGTAAATCAAAGTTCCAAAGTTTTCACCGAAGTAAATCAAAGTTCCAAAGTTTTCACCATAGTAAATCAAAGTTCCAAAGTTTTCGCCATAGTAAATCAAAGTTCCAAAGTTTTCGCCATAGTAAATCAAAGTTCCAAAGTTATTACTATAGTAAATCAAAGTTCCAAAGTTTTCACCATAGTAAATCAAAGTTCAAAAGTTTATACCATAGTTATTCAAAGTTCCAAAGTTTTTTTCATAGTAAATCAAAGTTCGAAAGTTTTTACTATAGTAAGTTAAAGTATTGAAGTTTTTGTATGTTTTTTTATTAATTTTTTAAATTATTTATCTGTTTTAAGGGTAATGATTTTGGTTTGTTTTTTTATCTTATAATAATTTTTTTCTCCATAAATGATGATAAATATTGCTTTTTTATCAGTGCTAGTACATCTTTTTTTTTTTATTAAAATTCATTTCTTGTACTTTGTTCTTATTGGCGGAGGGGTCGGGTTTTTCTAACGTTCATTTAAGCCTCAATAAATCTTATTCTTGACATTTCATAAAATGTACAGAATAGAAGCAAAACCATAAATCCACGGGTTTTATAGTATTTAATCAAAGTTCCAAAGTTTTCATCATAGTGAATTAAAGTTCCAAAGTTTTCACCATAGTAAATCAAAGTTCCAAAGTTTTCACCATAGTAAATCAAAGTTCCAAAGTTTTTACCATAGTAAATCAAAATTCCAAAGTTTTCGCCATAGTAAATCAAAATTCCAAAGTTTTCGCCATAGTAAATCAAAGTTCCAAAGTTTTTACTATAGTAAATCAAAGTTCCAAAGTTTTTACCTTAGTAAATCAAAGTTCCAAAGTTTTCGCCATAGTAAATCAAAGTTCCAAAGTTTTCACTGAAGTAATCAAAGTTCCAAAGTTTAACTTTGGTACTATAGCTAACTATAGTTAACTCTAGTTTACTATAGTATTTTTTGTTAGGGATTGCCAAGTTCCCATGCCATATCGGTCAAATTATACTCTAATAGGTATCCTAAAATTATATGCGCTTTTCATAAAAGATAAGATTTCTTTTAGAAAAATCACAAGCATACAAAATTAAATGAATGAACAGAGGGATATTACAATGTACACCTTATGTTCTTCTTTTGTTTTATTTCTGAACATGAATGAGAAGGATATGGAGATAACGAACAGTATTCAATCTCAAAGTCCATTAAACAATATACAAAATAAGAGCAGAGCAAACACGGACCTCCGAAACATCAGAGGTGGGATCAGGTGCCATGGAGGAGTGAGCATCCCCTGCCGACCGGTCACACCCGCCGTGTGCTCGTTGTCATGATCAGGAAATAACGGAAAAAATCCGTTGTCAACTCAGTGTATAAATAATGAACTAACAATTGGTATGAAAAACGTCAGTCAGCATTCGACTCAACGATAAATTGTATTTGCTGACAAGGTCATTGTATCGACCATAGAACTTACGAAATGGTGACTTTAAACGAGACTGTTGATATTCTGGTTTCATCAACTTGCTTGTCAATAATTTATCTCGTTTCAGAAATTGTTCATAAGTAGAGCATGCTCTTGCGTATCGAATCAACTGAGATATATATACTCCGTATGCAGGTGATGAAGGTATATTGCTGCATAAGTAAGGGAAGTTGACGATAGAAAAGTTAAAGTCATCACGTTTATCATATAGCTTGGTTGTTAGATTACCATTAGTTTCTTTTTCAAGTAAAATATCCAAGTATGAAGCAGAGGTGTCGGACTCTGTGGTATCTTTTATCTCAAGCTCACCAGGATATATTGTATCGGAGTAGGAATGGAAATTATCATTTTTAATTGACAATACGTCGTCGATATATCTAAATGTCGAGTTGAAGGCTACAGCAAGTGTTTTCTTCTTTTCACGCATAAGATTTTGCATAAATTCTGCTTCATATGAATATAAAAATAAGTCTGCTTATAACGGGGTGCAACTAGTACCCATGGAAATTTCAATAAATTTTTCGAATACCTGGTCTCCAAATAAACACATAGATATTGTCAATCAGAAACTCAAGCATCTTCCTGATGTCAACTTCAGAGTACTTATGTGTGCAATCAGAATTTGTTTATAAAATAATTTTGCAAATGACCAATGACGATGTAAGTTAATTTACGAGTTCCATTTTTATTGAAGAAGCAGCTGGCAATGATATCAAAAAGCCTGGATTTTAATTTGTCGTAGGGAATGATTGTGTATAAAGTTGAAAAGTCATAAGTTTTTAAGCTGTCGATTTTTGTAAAGTCTTGTGATTTCAAATCGTCCAAAAGTTCTTTAGAATTTTTAAGTATCCACATCTGATTTACACAACTTCTTGAATATATAGTCGCACAGTACTCTTGAAGTTTTTCCTTCACTACTGTCAAAATCTTAGTGAGAAGTAACGAAAGAGGCTTGGTTGAATGTAATATACCAACTTTGTTCCAATGATTTGATAACAAAACAACTTTTCATTATTTCATGTTTCACACCGATTGTTATACCATTTTATGTACAATTTGTCAACTTATTACACCCCTTCAAGGTCAAAAAGGGAATGTTTACTCCCCCCCCCCCAACACTTAATTGACACCATTCCCTGGGTTTCTCGGCTCCCTGTTTAAAAATATATTTAATCATTGCAAGAGACTTGAGTGCCCTCAGGAAATTCGACTACTATGCCATGAATTGAGATGAAAATCAAATTTCAAATTCAACAGATATTATAAATATTCATTCAAAATAAATAACTTTCATTGCCAGTAGACGATAAGAGAAATATGCAACAACACATTCATTACACCATTATCCTGTCGCTCTTTTAAACATCAATTTCACGGAGAAGTGAGCAATATCAGTCTAAAGGATTTATTTTTTAAAATTCTGAATGCTCCATTAAAAATTGTGATGTAAAGTATAATAGCATTCTTTATTACACAGAATCTGCGGTGATACCAAGTGGAAAAAAGGTATGACAGTTTTTCACATTAAAACAGAGTATTTTTTCCCCAAAATCCTTTAAATTAATATTTTTTCAAGATTTGTTTACTTTTCTTTTACCCGCTTCAAAATACTGAAGTCTAAACCTTCCCTATGATTAGAGAAATGAGCATCCATCAAATATTCCAATATTATATTTCAGAGAGTATTTCTCAATTTGATAGCTGCAATAATGAATGCCTTCCTTTTTGGGAGAAGGCTACATATTTTTAGGATTGCTGTTATGGTGCAAGTTCGATAGTGAATCACTCTCGCGTTAAGTTATCAGTAAATTGCTATTTTGTTTATCATTTCTTACCTGAACTTCAAAAATGTAGATACGCAAGACATAAATCAACTCAAAAATACAAATTAAAAACCATATATATGTTATTTTTGTCTATGAAAATATCACGGCTTTAATTTATCCGACAGGTTTACTAACCTTGATCAATTTTATTTTTGGATCAAGAGAGTGGATCTTAATGGCAATTCATTTATTTTAAACTTAAGTATCGCAATTCACGAAAAAAATATGAAATAAAATAAATTTATTTATCGATGTTTATTGACGTCATACAACACAATCGTTTATTAACATCGACTTTTACTTTAGTGGGTTATTCTAAGTCTCAGTACAACACACGAAAAATGAAATTGCTTCTGAGGAGAGCGACCATTAGCATTAGCGACCATTAGCAGGCAGATTTTCGCGTTTCGGGTCCATAATATTGGAAAGGGCTTCATTATTGCAGCTAGCAGCTTGACTTGAGTTCTGATGATTATGAATCTCTGAACTGAATTTTTTTTTATAGATTAAAATATCAAATAATTATAAATAAACTTAAAACGATGTAGTTTACATATGTAAAATAAAATTGTTCACTCAGACTTTTTTTGCCGATCATCGCTCCTTTGAATCAGGATTTTAAGATAATAATACTCAATTAGCTGACTATGTGTTCAAACGCATAAGCAGACACTTTGGCGAGAAATTAATTTTTGTTTTATTAGCTAGATGATAAGATTGCTAAAGTCGAATAACGGTTATTTTTCACATATGGTTATAACTATTTATCACAACATTTTGCAATCGCTAGAAAGACAAATATTTAACGTCATTAAGATTATTTAATTTCAGTTGACTGCCAAAACGCTCTTGAAAACATTCTTTTTGCTGTTTGTTGGTTTGATTGTCACGGTAATATTATATATATATTAAAAATAACATTCAAAGATTCCTTGGCAGATGTTAAGCTTAGTTCTAAATATCATGGGATGCAAAGCTATTGAAATATAATAGATCTGTACAACTTTTTGGAATATTTCTAGATTTGATAAAGAGATGACATTCAGTTAACTATGATATAGACGTCAATTATTTCTTCACAAAAATTGCCTGGTCTTTGTTCTTTCTAGCTTAGTACTTCGCCATTGATCTACAGATGTTTAGTGATAATGGACAGTAGCGACAACAATTGTGCAGTTTACGACAGAGTGTCGAAATTAAAGGTGTCATCACTAGGAACATGTGACCATGACGATGTCAAGGAATGGGCCTTCCGACTGCTACTGACAACATCTTTATTTCTTGCTTTCGTCACGGTTTTTCTTATCATCATGCGAGGATTCATGCTCTTTTCCACTCTAAGCTCATCATCATATCCAACAACAATTTTATTTATCTGTGTAAGTCTTAATCATCTTTGTTTTTATTCTTGTTTATTGCAAAAAATTAATATTTTTTATGAAAGCCATTTCTATCGATATAAACAAAGACCATGTCTTTTGTACATATAGGTGTTTGTTGCCATGGCGTCATTGACCATTTCGACTTCTTTTTATTACAACAACCTTTATGAAACAAGAAACAAAGCAGTGGTAAGGTTAAACATCGTCTTATTGGCGCACAAAAAGTGTAAGGATTTGGTCAATTCTTGAGGTGTTATGAATTATTAAGTTGTAATTAAAAGTGATCTATGTAAAGTAGTTTGGACGATTGAGACACATGTTTTTGATCACTAAATTACTTCCAGAACTTCAACACTTTGAAGATAGCCATGAAATCATCTCTTGACACGAATTTCGTCAGTGATGACATCAGCAGTGCAAATGTGACGTCAAACGAATGGAACATGTTCTTTATCGACGTAAGATATTATTGAATATTGAGATACCAAAGATTTTGATAGTTGTTAATCAATGTTTAAATGTATGTTTGTTGAATATTTATTCAACATCTTCTATACAATGCAAAATATATTTTTGACTTTATAATATCACAACATTGTAAATATTGAATTTATTATCACCTGGGGATTATATAAAAGGGTTGCGTTGAATTCAAACGGTGTTGATAACTGGATATGCTGATCACTAGATATCTCCTTACTTTTTAAATATATCTTACAGAGATCATATATTCAATCAATATTTTAATTAGGATATAGGCAAAGATGGTTTTGCCTTTATCTTTGTTTCATCTTATGGAACAGTGGCGTATTTTGTAAGAAAGTGATACCATATGGATATGTTATTAAAAGCACTAAAATATTTCCTTTTTAATTCCTGTAGTATCTTTATTATCTTAAACCAAGATAGAAGGTGAAAACCTTAGAAAACGTCAACCATAAATGTAATTTCTGGTGATCATTTCTTGTGAAATGGCTGCTATGACCACCAGGGCGTGATTCTGCGGTGACCAATTATCTAGATTTTTTAATCAGGTGAATTCTATTTTTCTGCCAAAAATTACAAATTGCACATTTGGTAACATGCCGCACTACTATATGTTTACATTTAAAAATTGATATATATCGAATATAGCGTATTGTGAATAAGATCTCGACCATGTACATGTAGACGTTTTAATGAATGGAATTTCTTTTGTTTAGTTTGATTGTTGTGCTGTGGATGCAGTTACTGGACCTATAAATGATTTTGATACCACTCCTTGGTGCACCACAAGTGGTTCATGTCAACAGACAGATTCTCATATCCCTAAAGCATGTTGTATTGGTGTAACTAAGGACGACTACCAATCAGCACCGATGCCTTGTCATAGCAGCGTCACCGATAACTTTAATAGAAAGGTAAACAATAAAACAAAGAGAGAGAGAGAGAGAGAGAGAGAGAGAGACTCAATGATAAATTGTATTTGCTGACAAGGTCATTATATCCTCCATACAGCATACGAAATGATGACTTTAAACGAGAGAGCTTAAATTCTTGTTTCATTAATATGTTTGTCAATAATTTACCTCGTTTTAGACATTGCTCATACGTAGATAGAGCATGCTCTTGCGTATCGAATCAACTGAGATATATAAACTCCGTAAGCAGGTGATAAAGGTATATAGCTACATAAGTAAGGGAAGTTGACGATGAAAAAAAAAAAGTCACGTTTATCATAGAGCTTTGTTGTTAGATTACCATTAACGTCTCTTTCAAGTAAAATATCCAAATATGAAACAGATGTGACAAACTCTGTGGTATCTATTATCTCAAGCTCACCAGGATATATCGTATCGACAAAAAAAAGGAAAATGCACTTGTTAAATGCCAAAAAGTCGTCGAAATATCTAAATTTCGAGTTGAAGTCCACAGCAAGTGTTTTCTTCTGTTCGCACAAAAGTTTTCATAAAAATCTGCATCATATAAATACAAAAATAGGTCCACTAATAACGGAGCGCAATTGGTACCAATGGGAATTCAAAAAAGATTTTTGAAAGACCTGGTCTCCAAAAACAACATATGGATATTGTCAACCAGAAACTCAAGCATCTTTTAGATGTCAACTTCAGAATACTTGTACGTACACAAAATAATTTTGCAAATGACCAATGACAAAGTAAGTAAATTTAAGAGTTCTATTTTTATTGAAAAAGCTGCTGTAAATAATATTTAAAAAACCTTTAATTTATTGTGGGGATATGATTATGTATAAAATGGAAAAGTCATAAGTTGTTAAGCTGTTGATTTGGTGAAATCTTGAAGATTTTTAATTTTTCTTGGAATTTCTAAGTATCCACATCTGATAAACACAATTTCTTGAAAAAATTATTGCACAGTACTCCTGAGGTTTTTCCTCCACGACTGTCTATATCTTAGTGAGGAGTACAGGAAGAGGCTTGGTTGAACATTTACTGGAACTCTCAATGTATCTTTGTTTGTAAGAATTCTTATGAAATCTCGGAATCCAATAAATGGTACTTCAAATTCATTTTGGATCTTCGGCATATTATTAAAATTTTAAACTGACCGATGATTTTGAAGAATTTCTTCCGTAGAAAGGGAACTACGAGTATAGGTTGGATTACAACTTGCAGAATGAAATCCAAGTTCTTCTAACTAAGATACAATTTATATAATGAGCATGATTTAAACGAAGACAATATTGTCTTAATGTTGTTACATTCTTTGTCTGCTGGGACCAATAAGTACTGATCATGTAATCTATCTACTTCTTTTATTGAATACACAAGGATAGATGGTTTTCATATTGCCCTTCAATCTTTTAATGCGTGATTTTATCATGAATCTGAAATATTTAAGGGGGCCGACTATAGTTTCCATTGCGCAATATTTCGCGCATCATAGTAAAATTAAGCGTATTCACTTTAATAATGCAACTTTTTTCGTTTAATTATTAAAATTAAACAAAATTAAGAAATTATAGGTATAAAAATGTAATTAAAATTTGATATGACTGATTTTTTAGCCGATTTTGCAATTGATAGGTAGGTTGAAGTCGTTGCAGTGTGTTTTTGACGTTATGATAATCTGTAGCTCTTAAAGAAAGGGGTAATAAAAATATTATTAAAGAAAAAAGTAACAAACATACGCTCTTGAAATTTAAAATATAGAAATTTGAGAATATCCCCGTTATTTTTATTATGTTTTCATGTGAATCCATTGTGTACATCATATTTTGTAATACTCTATATATAAAGATAGTAAAATTTGCTATTTTTTGCATTTTGAGATGCCCCCTCTGGTAACAAGACGGTAGAATTTTGTGTTTCTTACATATATTGTATAATATAGAATTACTCATCAAATATTATAGTTTGAACAAAATGTCTATTGTAGTATTTGTATAATTTGCTTTAAAGTGCGAAAAATTGGTATTTTCCTATAGAATCCAATAGTAAATGTACCTGTATTTTGATACGGTCCTCAAAAAATACCTGGACGGTAGATTTCCCCCAAACTTTGCATGTACACTGAAGTTAATGTAAGTTATATATGGTGTAAAAATGAAGAGTTTCGCTATTGTAGTTTTCACACAATAAAACTATAGTCGGCCCCCTTAATCCAGTTTGACGTCTTTTTCATATAAGATGAGAGTGAGAGATTCAATGCCATTTCTCTGATATTATTAACGTATAATTATATTAGGGTTGTCTGGAAGCTATACAGGAGAAAATGACGGAGAATAGAAATAAACGAGACGTAGATATAGACCATGTTCTAAGTGAAGGAATCCGTGTTGTACTGATGATGGTAAATATAATGTTATTTTCTCCTTTATTCATTGTCGAAATTATCGGTAAAAGGAAAAGTTTTATCAATTTTTGTTAAGAAATGATATGTTCTATCCAAATCAATTTCATTCCATGGTTTAATGTTTTTATTATTCATATGTGTAAAAACTAAAAAAAGGATTTTCTGCATCCTCATTTATGTATATGAATGTTTTGAATGTATAAATTTTTTTAAATAAACCTACAGATACCTTTTTCCTTTTTACAGGCTGTGTGTGCAATTGTTTCTGTTTTTGAAATTTTTGCCAATTATTGTAGTCATCGAGTATTAGAAAAACCTAAAATTAACCCTCTTTCCTGAGAAAGTGAAAGTTTTCATACCACATCCCAGCTGAAATCCTTATAAATTTTTCATATGCTTCTCTTCCTGTTATCTTATCTTTGAGCAATATGTATATTTTATATATATTATCCCAAAAATCATTCGGTGTACATGTTTAAATTCAATAAAATATTTTTTAAAAATCAAATTCTTTTGTTCTGGAAATTCATTTTAATTGCTATATTATTTTGTATAATACAAGATGTTTCAACAAAAATATCCCGACGTTTGATGTTTAATTTGCACAATAATAAGATATTTATAAAATTATGAATATATCTTAAAATCCAATTTCTTGCAATATTATTGTGATATAAGCAATATTAAAAAGGATATGGATATAACGAATAATATTAGGTCTCAAAGTCCACAAAACAATAGTAAATAAGAGCAGAGCAAACACGGACCCCCAAAACATCAGAGGTGAGATCAGGTGCCATGGAGGAGTGAGCATCCCTTGCCGACCGGTGAAACCCGCCGTGTACTCCTTGTCATGATCAGGAAATAACGGAAAAATCCGTATACAATTCAGTGTATAAATAATGGACAAACAATTGGTATGAAAAACGTCAGTCAGCATTTGATTTAATGAAAAATTGTATTTGCTGACAAGGTCATTGTATCGACCATAGAACATACGAAATGATGACTTAAAACTAGACTGCTGATATTCTTGTTTCATCAACTTGCTTTTCAATAATTTACCTCGTTTTAGAAATTGTTCGTACGTAGCGCAGGCTCTTGTGTATCGAATCAACTGAGTGATATTCACTCCGTATGCAGGTGATGAAGGTATATTGCTGCATAAGTAAGGAAAGTTAACGATAGAAAAGCCAAAGTCATCACGTTTAGCATATGGCTTGGTTGTAAGATTACCATAAGTGTCTATTTCAAGTAAAATATCCAAGTATGAGACAGATGTGTTAGACTCTGTACAGGTAATAAGAGTGTATATATTACTACATCGAGTCGACATATGATTAAAGTAACTATTGTTAATTGTTTCCACGTCGCCAAGATATCTAAATGTTGAGTTGAAGGTAATATTGCAGCTGATTACGCCCGGCATTATGTTACCAGATTTTGTCAAGAGATTTTTTTAAAGCATGACATTCAACCTCTCGATTCCCTTTCGTACAATCTAACATGTAATAACTGTAGGTACAGTAACTCATTTTTTACATACTTTCTATAATAGATATCCTCTTTCACTTCAATGAATTAAAAAAAAACAATCAATCTTGGTATGAATTACACTTGCAGGTAGGGGACTACAGTACCGACCAGACCCAACCTGACAAAAAGCAGTCCCAGAGCAGTCCCGGGGACTGCTTTCTAGTAATACTTTAGCAGTCCCACAGCGGTTCAAGTGCAGTCCCAGAGCGGTCCCAGCCGTCCCAGAAAACAGTCCCAGCAGCCCTAGTGGACGGGGTTTATTAATTTAACGGTCGGAGCTAACTCAGAAATGAGAATTCCAATAAACAATAGAACTGAAAAAGGCATTAGAAATAGATTCTGGGTAGTATGCCAGGAATCCTTACATGTACATGTACGCGAGGGTCATTTATGAACAGAACGCGCATAGAAAATTGAAATTACAGGTATATTCAATAGAGGAAAAAGGCTTTCACACCTACTTGTACATATTTATACGAATTACACTGAACATGAAGATTTAATCACAATTATCGGGTATATTAATAATTCTTTTGTGATTGATATTGGTTCCCATATTTATTTTTTATGCAGAAAATTAAACGTGATTTATTTACATTCCAACATATAGTAAGCTTTAAATAGATATTATTAGATATTATCATTATATGGCCATATTCCATACTATCGGGATACTCTAAAGGATTTTTCTTCAGTATTGGGGCTTAAAAAAAAATCTTTGTTGATTTTGCCAAGTATTATTTTTCAGACATGATTATTTTTACTGACATGTCAATTATCGTTTATTTCTCTAGTTCTATGAAACTCGGTTTCAAGTGTTTTGTTTATAAATGTTAGAGTGTACATCTGTTAATTTACCATAACCGAAGTCTCAGATTATGTTCAAAATTAATTAATCCCGAAAGAAATTTATACACATTTCATGAATAACATTTTTTTTCGCATTACATAAATTTAAATTAGGGTCATTCTTTACCAGCATATTCAATTATGTGTAAAGCTGATACGAATACCCAAATAACATACATTGATTTTCTGCCCAAAGGCGATTGAAACCATGGGTGTTGATACCATTTTATAAACATATATCGGCCTGGTAAACGCTAGTAAAACAAAAAAGAAATAAATCACAAAATACCGGTATTTTCATTTTTTTTTTTTTTGATAAATGTACTCTTTTAGTGACTTGTTTAAAAATTAAAAGCTACCAGTAATTCATTAATTAATTCCACAATGATTATTCACATTGATTATGCAACAGAAGAATGGTAGCATAATTTTAATTCATGGTCATTTAATAAATTGTTAGGTTTTATTTGAGGATTGCATGGAATACTCTTTTCTTTTTTAGTGTGGTCCTTGTAATACATGTAGCTTTTTCAATCAAAAAATCTTATTTCTAACTGTAATGATTGTTTTTAAATAGTACCAATGCAAATTTTTAGTACATAATTCAACATTAAATAATTTTGATAAAAAGAGGCCCACGTGTAGCTATCTCTTTCTCATATACCTGTAGTTTATTTTCAGGAATAAAAATTTTCTCATGACTTCCTTATTTAACAACTTTATTATTTTAATTTACTCTAAACTATACATTAATTTGTGTAAGTAAACAGTCCCTAAAAATATTAATAAACTATAATAATCTCATCTTATTAAAGGAATGTAAGAAATTCTTGCTTATTAAACAGTTTAAACTCATCTCTGCTGCAAGTAAACAAAACGACATGGAGCCTGCAAATTCAGAATACACAAGGCGCGCAGCTATCAAGTCACTCAGAACCTTTTTCACACATGAGTGAATAAAACAGTCCCAAAGCAGTCCCAGAGCAGTCCCACAGGAGTCCCAGAGCAGTCCCACAGCGGTCCCAGTGCGTTCCCAAAGCTGCTATCTGGGACTGCTTTGGTGTCAGATTGGGTCTGGTGGTTACTGTAGTAATACTAATGCAAACTCTTAGAATTCTTGTTTATTTTGATTATGAATGACATATCACTGCTCTTTCATTACCCTAACCCATGCAAAATATGCAACATGAATATCAGAAAGTGAATATTAAAAATCCTTTTTACTTTTTACAGGCTGTGTGTACCATTGTTTCTGTTTTTGAAATTTTAACCAATCATTGTAGTCATCGAGTATTAGAAAAACCTAAAATTAACCCTCTTTCCTGAGAAAGTGAAAGTTTTCATACCACATCCAAGCTGTAATCCTTATAAATTTTTCATATGCTTCTCTTCTTGTTATCTTGTCTTTGAGCAATATATATATTTTATATATATTATCCCAAAAATCATATGGTGTACATGTTTAAATTCAATAAAATATTTTTTAAAATCAAATTCTTTTGTTCTGAAAATTCATTTTAATTGCTATTTTATTTTGTATAATACAAGGTGTTTCAACAAAAATGTCCCGACTTTTGATGTTTGCACAGTAATAAGATATTTATAAAATTATAAATATATCTTAAAATCCAATTTCCTGCAATATCATTGTGATATAACCAAAATTAAAAAAGGATATGGAGATAACGAACAGTATTCAGTCTCAAAGTCCACAAAACAATAGTAAATAAGAGCAGAGCAAACACGGACCCCCGAAACATCAGAGTGGTGGGATCAGGTGCCATGGAGGAGTGAGCATCCCCTGCCGACCGGTGACACCCGCCGTGTGCTCCTTGTCATTGTCAGGAAATAATGGAAAAAATCCGTCGTCAATTCAGTTTATAAATAATGAACTAACAATTAGTATGAAAAACGTCAGTCAGCATTTGACTTAATGAAAAATTGTATTTGCTGACAAGGTCATTGTATCGACCATAGAACATACGAAATGATGACTTTAAACGAGACTGCTGATATTCTTGTTTCATCAACTTGCTTGTCAATAATATACCTCGTCTTAGAAATTGTTCTTACGTAGAGCATGCTCTTGCGTATCGAATCAACTGATGAAGGTATATCGCTGCATAAGCACAGGAAGTTGACGATAGAAAAGTAAAAGTCATCACGTTTATCGTATAGCTTGGTTGTTAGATTACCATTAGTGTCCATTTCAAGTAAAATATCCAAGTATGAAAGAGTATTGTCGGATTTTGTGGTATCTTTTATCTCAAGCTCACCAGGATATATCGTATCGACGTAGGATTGAAAGTTACCATTATTAATTTAAAATATGTCGTCGATATATCTAAATGTCGAGTTGAAGGCCACAGCAAGTGTTTTCTTCTTTTCACGCATAAGATTTTGCATGAATTCTGCTTTATATGAATATAAAAATAAGTCTGCTAATAACGGAGCGCAATTTGTACCCATGGGAATTCCAATAGATTGTTGGCATACCTGGTCTCCAAAAACCACATAGATATTGTCAATCAGAAACTCAAGCATGTTCTTGATGTCAACTTCAGAGTACTTATGTGTGCAATTAGAATCTGGTTTAACAAAATAATTTTGCAAATTACATGTACCAATGACGAGGTTAGTAAATCTACGAGTGTCATTGTTATTGAAAAAGCAGCTGTCAATGAAATCAAAAAGCTTGGATTTTAATTTGTCGTGGGGAATTGTTGTGTATAAAGTTGAAAAGTCGTAAGTTGTTTTTAGCTGTTGATTTTTGTAAAGTCTTGTGATTTCAAATTGTCCAAAAGTTCATTAGAATCTGATTAATCTAGATAATCTGGTAATGATCCAGAAGCTTTATTTGCTGAAGATTGCAAAGCCATGCTAATTGCTGATAGTACTGAATAGAAGAGTCTTTCTCAATTTCCCTTCAATAACAGACTCAACATTTCTCCAAACATTTACAGTTGCGTATACTGGTATTGATATGACCAAAGACCAGTGCGTTATCAAATTAAACTCCAATATGCATATGGTAATCAAAGCATTTGTGTAAAACTTACTTTTTCCGGGTAAGATAGGAGTGATTAATTTTACGTCCTATTCGAACATTTTTCACTCATATAGAGACATCACCATATACCGTTGAAGGACTTCAAATTCTGACTTTGACTCGGCATGACAATTGCTGTTAAAAAAACTACATAGATGATAAAGAAAGACGTTTGTCAGGTTATTTGAAGGAATTATGAGTAAGTTAGTAGCGGGGTTGACTGCAGTCGATGCCAAGGTTTTAAAAACATCATAACAGGGGCTACTTCTTTGCCTAGACTAGTATCACATTTCTAGATTGTTTTCCACTGAAGTAATTTAAGCACGATTTATTCCCCATGGCGGCATGTTGTAGGGAAACATTCCCAGATCCCTTCAATATTCAACCAAGTTATTTCTTATACTGGTTATTGAGGTACAGTTACACTATTTTTCTGATGAAAATACGTTTGTTAAAGCCTCATTTAATTCATAATCTTGAGATTTTCAACATTATTTACCATATATTTCTGGCATGCATGTTTAAGATTGGTTGCTTAAAAATTCACTGCCTTGTCCTACAAGATGGCAACTAAGGAGAATAACTTCGAGGCAAAATATGTCAAAAAATCCATCTATTATTTGGTAAGGTGATTGTCCTAACAGAGTAAAGTCTTACACCCTCTGTAATTAAATCCTGCTCATCTATGGTAGGTTGCCTACTTTAAAGAAATCTCTGGCGGGTGCTTTTTTTTTATCACGAGTGTATTTTTAACTAAATAGAATAAGCATGAAGGCTGATTAATCCCTGCTCTTACTTAGTCATTTTAACAATAATGTCAAGGTCATATATAACAGCAAGTTACAATATGATAAAACAAAAAGAGAAAAAAAATTATCGTAATTATTTGGGCATTTAATGTTCCCCATAGCCACAAGTTGCGACCAAATTATGTAACGACTTGTTTTGTGCATTTTCGATACCAAGGTTTTGGTACTAAACAAAAACTTATTTTATTTTTATGGACTTCAAAAATAAACAAATACATGGTAGTCATCTAGGTTAACATAATAACCAGAGGAAAACAACGATAAAAGTTTGTAGTTTTTACATGTAACCAACACCATGAACACGAGAGCCTGGTCACTCGGATTATATACTCTAGAATACTTTAATTATTTAGAATATAATTATTATTTAGTATACAAGTAGCCCTTCAAAGATTGGATGGACCATGAGTATTTAACCCTGGTCAGCGGTCTGTTCATTCAGTGCAGACGGTATAAAATTAAGTATGGCTAGCCTCTCTACTGAAAGGCGATGAAAAGTTTACTTATCAAGTAGACTGCAGTCTTCTCTTCATGGCTGAATACCATCAATAACAATAGTCGATTGGTGTTGAACACTATTGAAGCCACGTGATCTAAAGAAGGACTAATTGAAAAATCCGCATGGTCGCGCTTTGATATTCCTGAAACACTCACTACTAAATTGCCTGGTCATGGAGGAGAAATGTGATACAGTACATGTCTATCAAACTTGTTTAACTGATATTTAATTGCTTGAGGAAACCCTTGCAATGAATTTAAGATTTTTAAGAACAATAAATGCATAGAAGTAGGTTTTATAAAGATTTAAACACTCCAAAACAGTTCTATTTTGATATAAAACCCGTTCAGGTGAATCTAGGTCAATCTATTTTATTACATAACACATGTTGTTAATCAATGGTGAAAAAAGGATTTATTCAGGGTGTCTCGTAGTATGTGTCTATTCCTGTCTGCACTGCATGTAACTATATAACTATGGCAATCCAATCTAATCTAAGTAATTTGAAAATTTTGGATATTGACGTTTTAAACAATGAATAAGAAAAAGATTACGTCATTTAATTATGCATTTTGAGCCATTGGATATGAAAAGGAAGTAATACCTATATTGCACATCAAGGTCATTGGAAAACCTGAAAGACAACTATTGGTTTCTGCGTCTTAAAGTATTTCGAATTCAAGAGGTAAATATGTTATGATAAAACATCTAAGGATATTTTATATTTTTAGATATAATGTAAGATTTCTAAATTTTGATTTTTCTTTACTTAAGATCTTGATTCTGTTACATGTATAATACTGCTAGCAATTTAAATATATCAGATGCTTGGGATTTAAGGAAGTTTATACTGGATGAGATTGTATTCATTATACTAAGGTGGGACAATAGATTAAATATATTATGTGTGATAATGTATTGAATACTTTAGAATCGGACCATAATATTTATCAATTGAGTTTAATACTGCTGTAAAGATCCCCCAAAGTTCCCTTAATGTTTTTACTTTGTGCTATTCTAAAGCTTTAGTTCTTTTTACAATTGTTTTATCCGAAAAAAGAAACTAACTAATTCAAAACAAGCAGAACCTAACTATTTCTGGCCCTTTGTTCCCCGAAGTGTTGTGATGTAACAGCTATTGACCTTGCAGAAGGTATTTAAAATTAAAACGCGCATATCCGTCAATATATGGAATGATGAGAATATGAGACACCTACATCGAAACATTATACTGCGTTTAATACAAAAGGAAAATTCATTTGTGTCTCCAACACATTAAAATACATGTATCATTTCTTCTCCGGTCATTATTTATCCTCATCAGTATCTTAAATATTCTAATAGTTAACATGGAATTTCTAATAAAAAAATACAACAACTTCATTCAGATTTGAATTTCTAATTCGCCATTTCATAATTAGTAGTAGAACAGATTAGGATTTTTTGCAATGATGTTTCACTGCCCAATAATGACTGTGTTACGAGGTAACTAAAAAATAATGCGATAAATCATTATATTATACATGTATAACACTAATATACCTAGGTTAAAATTGGAAGAAACGCCTGTTTCATTTTAAAGAGGTTCGATCCTGAGCTTTTGAGCTGATTTTGGTCTGAATCTTTATTTCTAAAATTCTGCATTATTTTTTTTTAGGTTCTAGCTTTGAAAAAGGATTCTATAATTCAAATTGAACTATTTTCAATGAACAAAACACCGCGACTAAATTCCATTCAAGTAGCATTAAGCCAGGAACTATATTTTTTGGCGGATTTTTTTTTAGAACAAAATGATCAATTTTCCCTTTTGAACTATAAACGGTACTGTTAATTTTAGATTCCTTTTCCATGATGGTTGCACATAAAACTGTTTATGCAGTAAAATGTATTATACTGATTCTGAAATATCTATTAATGTATTTCTTATGAATTTTTTCCATGAATTATGTCAAACATAGCAAATATATTCTGAAGGTTAAGGGAAAAAATTAGCCAAATTGACATTTAAAAAAAATATCTAAAAATTTGCATCGTATGACCCCTCTTTTGATGTTCTTTTCTGAATATATAAGATAACTTTTACTTATCTGCTTACATTCAGCAAAAGTTAAAATCTTTAAAATAATTTTCTAGCTTATTAAATGTTCAATGCCAGGAAAATAACATTTTATGAGTGCAGAAAGGTCGATTTTTTAATCAATTATTTAATTTTTGATAAAGCCACATGTGTAGAAACTAAAAATATACTTGATAAAAAAGTTTAAAACTTTAAAAATGTCAGGAGCCAAACTCGTTAAAGAAATGAGAAAGAAAACACATTTTAAAAGAGCAGATGTGAACAAATTTAATACTGCTTCTAATTTCCCTAATTTTTTCTTCGTTTGTAAAACAAAGTTTTTTATGAAAAAAAAAAAACAAAACACTTTCTAATTATATCCGGAGTTTAGGAAATGAACTTTTATGTTTCTTATCCTAAGTTTAAACCCGTTCAAAGAGGAAGATTCTCTGATGGCACATCAAGCACTGCTGAAGAAATTTCCTGTGGTCTTGATAGCTGGCCTAACTATATCGGTCAGTAATCTTAAATAAATTACAACTTATTTGGAGCATTCATTACACTGTTTTATATTCAGTTTTATTCACGTAAAATTCCTCTCCTTCTTATTATATTTTTTTTCAGATTGTGACTACTCCACTAATCTGCAAAAGTTTTGAATTGAGGAATGATCATGAAAGCCAGTGTAGCATCTATAGTACACTACTGAAATTGAAGGTGAATCTACCAGGAGGTTGCCCTTACGACAGAGTCATGGATTTGTCCAATAAAATAATTCTTAAAGGAATCATATTTCTAAGTATCATTATTTTCCTCGTTGGTACCACTTGGCTTCTCATAATATATTCATCAAGATATCATCGAGTGGAGATTGGGATTGTGAGCGTATGTACTTTAAAATAAATACTTGATGTTTCTTTCAGACAAATTAAAAGGAAAATTCTTTAAAACATTTCTACCTGAAAATTAAGAATTGTTTTAATTGTATAATTATTTTTGGTAGTTTTTGCTCATTGGTGCAACAGTACCTCTGACTGTGCTTATGTATGATGACTATAACGATTTACACGATCTTCAAGACAAGATTGAAGGGATGGTATGCTATCCTTTAGGACAAGTTTTTAATACCTTATAAAATGTATATTTTATTGATTTGAATAATACAGATATGATCATTCTTTAAAATGTTTTAAAATGGTTTGTTGTATTTCATTTTATAAATTCAGATCTGTTAAAGTTCTTTAGATTTATATGTTTATTATTCTATTTATATTAGAATTGGAACACTTTACAAGCCGCTATGATATCTTCTCTTACGACTTATTTCTTAAGTGATAACCTCACAAGTCCCAATACAACATCAAACCAGTGGAATATCCTTTTCATAGAGGCAAGTCGATTTAAAGAAATATATAGTGTTTGGTAGTTTAGTAGTAGTGCTAGTTGTTTTTTTGTTTATCTTTTTTCTTTGTTCCTATGGCTTTTTAATTTTTCCCTTTGTCCTGAGAAAGAGACAGGGAGTTCCGAAAATTACCAAGATTATATGACATTTTATTTAATAAGTAATTTTGTAAACAGTCCAAAACATAACTTGTGCAATCTTCATGGGGAAAAAAGGAACCTGCACTTAAAGTGAGTTAATGCTGTGCGAAACAAAAGGGACATAAATTGCATCTGGATTGATGTCAAATGTAGTTTTGATTTATAGATATACTCAGTGCGCTGGGATGCTCCGCTTTGTAGATATAGTGTTTCTTAATGAACTCAAGTATATGCCTACCCCCTTGTCGTTAGAAAAGCCTGTCCTCGACAGACTAGATATTGAGCTGAAAGTATTTTTTTCTCATGTAGAAAGTTTGTTTAAATATGTTTTTAGTATAAGTGTTGCGGAGTTCGTAGCATTCACGGGACGACTAACGATTTTGACATCACTCCATGGTGTACAACGAGTGGATCATGTCAAATTACAAATTCTCAGATTCCTAAAACATGCTGCCTTGGAGTCACTATGGAAGACTACCAGTCAGCTTCTAATGAATGTCATGCTCAAGTCATACCCCAAACATATAATAATAAGGTAAAATGTCTGATGTACACGAGATATCGAAATATCACTCTAGCATTAAACTCATGTAAAGGCGAAGCAACATTTTAAACGTTTGAAATATTTTATAGGGCGTTTAAGAAATATTTATCTATAACTAGACATGATTATGTTACAGGTTATTAAATTTTTCTTCTAATTAATATTTTAGTATAGTTTTCTATAGATAAAAATCTAACTCTTAAGGGCTTATCTATTGTTGGAATATCTCAAAAGACCGAAGCAAAACAACATGGTGGTATCTTGAAAAATAATAAAAGATAAATTATGATTTATTTTAAATTTATCAACATGTTTTTTATTTTTTTTCCTTCTCATTCAGGGGTGCTATAAGGCACTGATGGATATATCAATAGAAGAAAGAGACAAGCACAAAATAAAAATCGAGCAGGTTCTTTGTGAGGGAATGAAAGTACTAATTGCGATGGTAGGTCTACATTCTAAACTAAACTAAATAGTTGATTCTAGAATTATTGATTTGATAATGATAATGAAAATACATTTAAGATACAAGTACAATATGGACTGTTTAGAAGGGAGACAATACAAACAGGTATGAGTAGGGTTTTTATCCGAGGGCGCTTGGCCTAGAGGTGACAACCCTACTCAGACTTGATCATTCGTGATTTCTACCTGCTTGATTTTATCACTATAAATATATTATATTTATATATTTAGCGCATACAATATTTGGCGGAAATTGGATTTTGAACAAGTTAGCGTGGATTTGATTTAGTATATATCTCAATGTTCTTCCTTTTAGGTATATATGCCAGACTTTTAGCGTTGTATTTGAATAAGCGGATATTGCTTTCCGCCAAAAACGTTAAAAAGAATACACAGCAAAATCTAATGCATTTACAGTATCTTAAAGAAATCAGATTTAATAGACTATGAGAAAGCAAGCAAACCCCTTGCGATCTTTTACCCTCTGGTTTGATTTTATTCTTTCAAAATATGTAAACAGACACCTTTAACCACAAAGTTCATTATTTTCCGACTTACGGTTTTTTTTACTTTACTAAATCGGAGTATATCCCCCAACAGGGGGTATGTTAGTAAAATAAAAAATTACCAATTGAGTATATCAACAGGGGAACAGTTTACATAATGAACTAAAAACAAGATCTAAGATACGGACCGGACAGTACTGACAGTTGTTAAAAATCATTTAATATTTATTTTGTGGGAAGTTAAGGTTTTAAATAATTTTAGAACAAATTTACACAACTTTGCTAAACATGTTAGTTCATGTACATAAGTGTTTCTCAAATTATAAAAAAGGTATTGTGTTTGGGTTCAAATTAATATTTCGAGGTATAAATTTCTGTCTTTCATTCTGTAAAAAGGGACACTTAAATAAATAATGAAACTCATCAGCAAGTTCATGGTTATTGTAGAGGTAACAATGTCTCTCAGATCTATCAGTACAATACATGTAACATTCACAGGCTTCAATTGGCAATTATGACTGACACATTAAAATTCACACAAATGTAATCTAAGATCAGATGGTAATTTTGTAAAGATAATTTTCAAAACCAAAAGCACATTTGTACAGTTCGATCACGCATAAATGATGTTTCATATGTCAGAGTTACTTTTGTATCTCTTTTTTATGGAAGGGAATTACCGCCAAAAGTCTATGTATCTTGCTTTTATTCTTATTCTGGCTTCTTCTTCATGCTTCATTATTATTGTAACTGTATGTCACTTTATTGTTTTCATATTCGTCTTTATTACATTTCACTATGACTTTTATCCTTCTTCATTTTGCGCTTACTTCTATGTTGCTTTATTCTTGTAAATTCATTCTACTTTCTTATAAATTGATACAGTTTCTTAAATGATTATAACTATTACGAACGTTAACTCAATCACGCAAACAATGAAGCATATTCAATGAAGACGAATATAAGTTGTCCTAATTTAGTGCGGCATTATAACGCTAGGTGGCAGGGGTGTTCGCTAAGAGTGTTAGTAAAATTAGGTAAGCAAACCCGGGCCGGGGTTATTCGAGTTTTTTTCAATTTTCTGCCTTAATACTTTATTAATCAAACTAGACTGATGTTTGTTATAAGTCCAGGTATTATTAGTTACATAGTCTTTTAGTGACAGGGTATGGGATGATACGGTACCTGGTTTCCTCTGGAAGACTGACTACATAGTGATGCTTCCTTCGGAAGACTATACAGTGGGACTCCCCCCGGGGAAGTTTCAATATATAGCTAGTCTTCCGTGGGAAATCTCGCTATATATAGCAACTCGCCCCCATTCCAAGCAAACCCTCCCACGAATAGTTTTTTTAATCGTAAAACAATGTTTATATATACTAACGTTTTCAGTTTTTGAAGAAAAGTTATACGTTCTATCAGGGACCTATATCCCTTGTTCTATATGAATAAATATTTAAAAAAGATCCCTCACTGCTCAATGGCTATAAGTGCCAAGTATATAGCTCTCCACCGGCAAGAGGTGGCTTCTCCATTTGAGTGAAAAATTCTCGAAAAGGAAATTATACAATGTACAATCACACCACCAAAGTCTCAATATATATATATACTGACCTCCGGGTGGACGACCTCCTATGGGGTAAGTATCATCGGTAGAGGGGAGGAAGGCCACGAAACATTTTCCTAAACGTAACTTTTTACTACTGGAAAAGTTCAGCGAAAGGCTTGTTGCCCCCCATCCCTTACACTTTTTGTTGCAGTACTAATAGTCAATTTATACATTAAGTCATGTACTTAGTGGCATATGAGTAAATTTTTTTTACTGAAAAAAAGTTGACGACCCCCCCTTTTCCACCACCAAATAGTATTTTCGAGTTTTAAGATTTTTTTAGCTCTCCTGGTTGATGACAAACACGGTGCGTACTGAAGATACTTCCTTCTTTATTGAAAAGTGCTATTTTAATATAAAATATTAACGCAGAAAAAAGACCGGGGTGTTTCTAGTATGCCTGGGTGCATGTAGTCTGGTTCCGACTTCGCCTTCCATGCGCGGATCTAGAGGGGGGGGGGGGGGGGGGTAGGACCCCCTGGAATTAATAAGGTTACTACTAAAACAAGGAACCCCCCCCCCCACGAAATAGAATTTTGAGGTTGGAGCGAGTTTAGTTTTTTTTCCTTCTTTTTATGCTGGTCAAGAAATTTCTGGGATTGGATTTTTTTTTTGACTGGGTTGCCCCCCCCCCCCACCCCTGGAAAAAAAAATCTGGATCCGCGCCTGCTTACCCATAAAGCTCCTCACTCCTCAAAGCCCTGTCCCTAGAATCACGCGCATCAGCAGTTACTACCTGTCGTGAAATAAAGTTCAGTTCAGTGGAAGATTCTGAAAAACAACCCAATATATAAGGGTTAACTAGTATCAAAATATTTAACATTTTTAGATAACAATTAAACTGTAATTTAAATATCCAACAAATAACTTTAGTATAGAGTTATATTTTTCAGGCGAGAGAAGAGTGACGTAGCATCGTTTTTGAAAGTGGGGAGGGGGGCAACAAGAGAATAAATATTCAAGCTACCCGACTGAAAAAACTTGACAAGCGCAAAATAAACCCAAGGAAATTGTCCAAACTTGAAAATACATAGGCGTCGGAACAGGGGAGGGGGGATTGCTTAATTGACTGCTTAGCCCTCACTTCTTTCCAAAGATAGACTTAGTATAGACATTGAACATTCCTGCGTAGGTTTAGCCCCTCCCCCCACTTTCCATGGACACGATGCAGTAAAGGTTTAAAATGGGGAAAGCGGTGGTATTTGGAAG